TACACAGGCCAGGGGTGTTACACAGGCCTGCTTCTGCCAGGGGTGTTACACAGGCCTGCTTCTGCCAGGGGTGTTACACAGGCCTGCTTCTGCCAGGGGTGCTACACAGGCCTGCTTCTGCCAGGGGTGTTACACGGGCCTGCTTCTGCCAGGGGTGTTACACAGGCCTGGTTCTGCCAGGGGTGTTTCACAGGCCTGCTTCTGCCAGGGGTGCTTCACAGGCCTGCTTCTGCCAGGGGTGTTACACAGGCCTGGTTCTGCACTTGGGTGCAGTTTCTAAACCTCTTAATGTGATTTTATGGCGGGGGGGGTAAAAATAGCGCGTCCAGCTCGGTGATGAATTCTCGGAGAGAGCCACGCAGGGTGCAAACCCTGGGGGCTCTGAGCTCGCTGGAAGAGTGGAATTGAGTCTCTTGAGTGGCACGACTGAAGCAGAGGCCTGTGCTGGCGGCCCTGAGCTCTGATGTTCGACTCTGTTTCCCCCCCCCAGCCTCGGGACGTACGCGTCGCTGCGGGGGAACATCTACTGCAAACCCCACTTCAGCCAGCTCTTCAAATCCAAGGGCAACTACGACGAGGGCTTCGGGCACAAACAGCACAAGGAGCTGTGGGCGGGCAAAGCGGAGGGTGAGGAATCCCCGGAGAAAACCCCGCCCGGGGCGAACGCGACGGAAGCCCCGCAGAGCCCCGGGGTGGAGGACGCCCCGATTGCGAAGGTCGGGGTCCTGGCAGCGACTATGGAGGCAAAAGCTTCGGCTGTGCCCGAAAGGGAAGAGCGACCGGCGGAAACCAAGAAGCTCCGGATCGCCTGGCCCCCTCCCTCCGACCAGAGCGTCCAAGGAAGTGCCTTAGAGGAGGGCATCAAGGTGCTCAAACCCAAGTGGCCCCCGGAGGAGGAGGTTTCCAGGCCGGACGTGCAGGAGGAGGTGGACCTGGACCTCAAGAAGCTGAGGAGATCCTCCTCGCTGAAGGAGCGGAGTCGCCCCTTCACGGTGGCGGCCTCGTTCAGAACAGTGTCCGTGAGGGGCCACAGGGCAGAGAACTCGCCCTCTCCTCCCAAAGCTGAGAGGGACACGCGGAGGAAGGGGGAGGAACTGGAGAGAGAGGAGAAAAAGCAAAAGGAGAAGGCGGCTGAGCACAGGAACACCCAGAAGGAGGAGAAGGACGTGGAGGAGGAGCGGGAGCTGTGCGGTGTCAGGACGGCAGAGCTCGGCGTCGTGGAGAACGGGCAGGGGGGCCTGGAGACAGACGAGGAGGAGGAGGAACACGCGGCGGGAGAGCCGGAGGTCCCAGGGGAAGAGCTCCCGGAGCCGAATTCTCCCAAACGTTCCAGCCTGGCCCACGTGGTGACTGCCAAGGAGTCCTCCCCGAGCCAGCACCGCAAATCCCAGGACGTGGGTTTCTGGGAGGGCGACGACGTGGAGGATCTGTCCGTGGAGGAGCAGATCAAAAGGAACCGTTACTATGAAGACGATGACGACGACGATGAAGAATAAATTGGCCTTTTTTCACTAGGAAACTTGCTGCAAGGTGCTGGGCCTTTTTGGAAATGGGTATTTTTTTTTTTTTTTAGCTTTAACAGACAGCTCTCCTCCACGAAGCGATGCCACACTGCACGTCAAGGGAATCCACGTCCAAATCATCTCAGCTGGGAAGCTCTGGAAGCCTGCAAAGGGTCTCTTTGGGTGCATGGGAACGAGGGTCTGCGGGGCAGCAGCAGCAGCAGGGAGTGTCTGCCCACGGGCTGTCCTGCGCTCGTCTCATCCCTTTGGGCTCAAATTCCACTAACAAACAACTCCTGGAATTCCACCAGCGACCCCTGGAACTCCGCTGGGGTGGAACACGCCACTTGTACCACTACAAATGCTACTGCAGTGCTTAGGGACCAACTTCAAAGGGACTTTCTGGCCTGCTTTAAAAACGGTCACTTAATGCACTTTAATACGTGGAAAGGGGCACAACTGGGCTTTTATATAATTTTTTTTCTTTTTTTTTTTTAATAATAATAATAATAAAAACCATTTCCGTGCGTGGCGTCCGACGACGGGAGCACCTGGAACCGAGTGCAATGTGAATTTTGGGGGCTCAGCCCCGCCCCTGATGGGCCGGGGAGTCCCTGCCCTCTGCCCCTGCCCCTGCCCGGCTGGAGCGGTGCCCGTT